AATAACATTTTATAACACTTACAAAGAGACTTAAAAGACAAACCTCTGAAGACATTTAGAGATTTATTTCCCATCATGCACCTGGTTGAAATTAACAGCTACAACTTTTGAGGAGGAGAAAGTGGTGAAGTTGAGGAGAGAGCAAGAGCGCCTCTTCGACATGTCCTCGTCTTTGTACCACCACAGAGAGAAGAAGGAAACATTCACCCCCCGTACAGTGTGTGTCCATCCAGACATGAGCTAATCACACCTATTTGGTTTTTTGAACCAGGCTGTAAACATGTTCATCTCTGCTGTAAAAACAGGCTTTTTAGAATGGGTGTGTATGTGACTTCCTGTGCTTCTGCAGCCAGCCTCTAGTGGACACTCCAGGAACTGCAGGATTTTACACTTCAGCATCAACAGTTGCTGCTTGGTCAACACATGGAAACCTGCTTTGTGTTCACATTTAATCACACACCTGAAGCGCTGGTCAAACCTTTACGATGAGGGACGAGCACATTGCCCCTCCCCCACTGGATCAGCTGATCCCGTCTCTCCCACACACACACACACACACACACACACACACACACTGAGACATTCTTGGACTCCTTTCAGATGGATGTGACGGAGCCGCTTATCGTGGAGTTTTCAGGTCGGTAATGAAACAGTAACCGGCGTCGTTTGCACGTATTAATGGCGGTGTTGAAGTGGAGATGTGAAGACTTCAGGGAACATTAAACCTGAAGGGAGGGCGAGCGTTAAAACCCGACTGAAACAAACGTCGATGGGAATTCTCTTCCAGCTGGTGATGGAGGGAGCGTGCTCCATCTCCACGGATTGATGACGTCATGTTGGCCTCGCTCCTTGCCGTTTTCATCCAGTTTGTAATGTGCCACAGATTCTCTCACTGAGCCACAGGATCTGCTCTGAGTTAGACATCCTGTCCACATCTTTCAACTCTGGTGTCCTCGTTTAAACCTCTTTTAAACGCCAACAAACCGCTTTGTTTCCACATTTGATGACGTCAAAGGAAAGAAGCTTTAACCTGTAACGCAATGAATCAACAAATCAGACGTCTGACCGCTTCTTTAATGGACGAACTGAAAAACAGAATGTAAGGCAGCCCTGAGCTGACATGCATCCTTACTAAGGCTGTGAAATGTATTACACTTTTTTTAATCACGATTAATCGCATTTCTAATCACATGTTTGAAATTCCTTATTTTAAATTTTAAATAAAAATTGTTAGGCTTTTATTTTGAATTTTGGAAATGTCTTTGACTCTGTCTTTACAGCACCAAACGCGAGCGTGCATGAGGCACAAATCAGCTTTTTCTATTGTTTACTATCTGAGTGTACTAACAGCTAGCGAGGCAGCGCGGCGGGCGAGGCAGCGCGGCGGGCGAGGCAGCGCGACGGCCGAGGTAGCGTGACTCGTCGTCCCATTTCTATTTTCTTCTCTAACTTTCACGTAAACGGACGTGTAACGAGGAAGGATGAGGCTCTACAAGACACTGTCTCTCTTCGCTCAGCAGAGCTTGTTAGCTTGTTAGCTCGTTAGCTCGTTAGCTTGTTTTACAAAGTTGAGATAAATGTGTATTAATAATATCCACATCAGTGATTGAAATGATGACCTTTGACCTGTGTCAACACCGGAGAAAAACTTTATTCGTCTCACTTCGAGCCATCTATTCAGTCACCACACTTCAGTTTGTCAACCTTCAAAATAAAAGCACCACACTTCAGTTTATCCACCTTCAAAATAAAAGCACCACACTTCAGTTTATCCACCTTCAAAATAAAAGCACCACACTTCAGTTTGTCCACCTTCAAAATAAAAGCACCACACTTCAGTTTGTCCACCTTCAAAATAAAAGCACCACACTTCAGTTTGTCCACCTTCAAAATAAAAGCACCACACTTCAGTTTGTCCACCCGTGCCACCCCCCCCTCCCCCCCCTCCCCCGGAGTGGCACCTCTAAACAGACAGTGATAGATTGGTGAGATTACAGAGCAGAATATCTGACACTGCTCTCTGATCCGCCACCCTGAAAGCGTTCAGACATTTTCTAACGAGCCTCTGCCAGCGCCCCGGATCACATTTCAAAGACGGACGATGTCTGCTGGGAAAAAAACAGAGCCATTTAGCCTGCTGCCACTGTAATGTAAAAACCAGATATCTGCGTCTTTACTTCTTGACGGCTCTGCTAAGTCTCCTCCTCAGAGCGTCCTATAAGCTCAGTGTTTTCTTTAAAGCAGCAGGGTATTCTACTCGAGCGCACAGGCCATGAAATATGGAGCGTATCTGTGTTTGGCTGCGAGCCAGGCCGAGGGGTCGGCATGAATCACTCAGATTTCAACCTCAGTCCACATTCATCCGGCTGGAAACAGAGCTGCTCTCTCACAGTAAAAGTTGGATATTTTGTTTGCAAATCGTCATGTATGATAAAAATGCATAAAAACTAGAGGTGGCAAACGTACACTTCCAGAAACACTTCCAGATAAACATCCTATTTCAAGACGTAAAGACCAAAATAAAATCTAATAATAATAAAGATACATAAAACTTTTAGCTCTCTGAGCTCTAGAGACCCAAAATGTTTTTCTACCAGGCTGTAAACATGTTTATTTTAACATAGAGCTCTATGGGGACTGACTCACTGCAGGAGACAGACTCTAGTGGACACTGGAGGAACTGCAGCTGTAAAGTTAGACATTTTAACATAGAGCTCTATGGGGACTGACTCACTGCAGGAGACAGACTCTAGTGGACACTGGAGGAACTGCAGCTGTAAAGTTGGACATTTTAACATGGAGCTCTATGAGGACTGACTCACTGCAGGAGACAGACTCTAGTGGACACTGGAGGAACTGCAGCTGTAAAGTTAGACATTTTAACATAGAGCTCTATGGGGACTGACTCACTGTAGGAGACAAACTCTAGTGGACACTGGAGGAACTGCAGCTGTAAAGTTAGACATTTTAACATAGAGCTCTATGGGGACTGACTCACTGCAGGAGACAGACTCTAGTGGACACTGGAGGAACTGCAGCTGTAAAGTTGGACATTTTAACATGGAGCTCTATGAGGACTGACTCACTGCAGGAGACAGAGTCTAGTGGACACTGGAGGAACTGCAGCTGTAAAGTTAGACATTTTAACATAGAGCTCTATGGGGACTGACTCACTGTAGGAGACAAACTCTAGTGGACACTGGAGGAACTGCAGCTGTAAAGTTAGACATTTTAACATAGAGCTCTATGGGGACTGACTCACTGCAGGAGACAGACTCTAGTGGACACTGGAGGAACTGCAGTTTTAGGCACTTTCTTATGAATGTCATATTAAAGGAAATGAAAATAAGAAATCATACATTATATTTCAGTCATTTTGTAAGCCGTGTTTCCCGGAGTATGCATGTCTTGCGCTTGTTTTGAGTGTGTTCATGTTACACATACTACAGTGTACTATCAGTCCAGCAGGATGGGACACGTTAAACGTCCTGTAGGGAAAAGATGCAGGATGAGGAGGAGAGCTGCTGCCGCTGACAGCTTCACAAATATCCCCTGCTGCTGTCGTCTGCAGGACTCACCCTGAACAGTCCGCTCATTTACAGTCCCAGAGACGTTAGACGCCAAAAAGAGATTGTGGAACAGATTATTAGACCTCATGACAAAACCCCCTAACCCCATCAGATAACGATGATAAAGATCGGGTTTATGTCCTCACCCCTTCAGCTCTGCAGCCTGCTAAGCTAAATGGTTTATAACTTAAGTGACTCTGCAGATGAAAATAAAAATTGTTAGGTCTGTGAGCATTAACGAGTTCATCACATTAACCTCATGTTTGTCCCTTCAGGCTCTCCGTAGATACTCGTCCTCAGTGTCTCCCTGTAGTCTCACTGCTGCATCTCTGAATGTCTCATTTCACTTTAACAAACTCTTAGACAGTAATATCCACCTGATGACATCACACTGACCTGATGACATCACACACTGACCTGATGACATCACACACTGACCTGATGACATCACACACTGACCTGATGACATCACACACTGACCTGATGACATCACACACTGACCTGATGACATCACACACTGACCTGATGACATCACACATTGACCTGATGACATCACACACTGACCTGATGACATCACACATTGACCTGATGACATCACACACTGACCTGATGACATCACACATTGACCTGATGACATCACACACTGACTTGATGACATCACACATTGACCTGATGACATCACACACTGACCTGATGACATCACACACTGACCTCATGACATCACACACTGACCTGATGACATCACACACTGACCTGATGACATCACACACTGACCTTATGACATCACACACTGACCTTATGACATCACACACTGACCTGATGACATCACACACTGACTGATGACATCACACTCTGACCTGATGACATCACACTCTGACCTGATGACATCACACATTGACCTTGTGACATCACACATTGACCTTATGACATCACACATTGACCTTTGAGATGTTTGACCTCACTTTGGGATCCCTAACCACTTCCTGTTTCTGTGCTTAACTTCATGTCCTTATCTTCACTCTACAGGAAGGGCCTAACTGTATTTCAAAATAAAAGCACACAGCAGGTAAAGTACTCTCAGCTTAAGACAGGACCAACATAAAAAATAAATGTGAAATAACAGAATTTCAAACACACGATTTAAATGTGATTAATCGCAATTAGAAATGTTAATCCTTTAACAGCCCTCATAATAATAATATTCATTAATTATTAATTATATCAACAGCTTTCAATCAAAAGTGCTGTTTTTATTTATTTATTATTTATTAGCATATATTAATAATAAATGTTTGTCAATTTGTTTAAGAATAATTAATTTACGTAAATTGAAAAGAAACGATAGATTGAAACGTTTTAAATATAATTGTGATGATGATAAGCGCAGAATCCGCGCAGCTCTGATGCTCCTGAACGCACCCTCGAAAGGAACCCTGGGAAAGACAAGATGGCGGGACGTTCAAAAACGTCGCTGACAGGTCAAATCAACAACAGAATAAAGTAAATAACATATTGAATTTAACCGTTAGCCCACAAATCGTCGGCTGGAACGAGTAACCGACGTTTAACCGCCGGTATGAACGGGGTTCGCCGGAAGTGTGACCCTCCTTTTGGACTGACGGGATCCACACCGAAACCGAACCGGCTGAGCAGAACCTTCAGACAGACTCAGACTGCGGGGAAAGTGGATCCTCCTCCGAGGAGCGAGCCGGCAGGTTAGTGGATGTTTTTCTGTCCGTGTGTTTGTAATTCATCTGAACTTGTTCCATATTGTTGCCCCGACAACGTCCCGCTCAGCTGAACGTACACAACTCTCAACCAAACTCCATTCAAATTTCTCCCACTTTTTGGTTTTCTTGTAGATACACGAGATATACTCAATCACAAAGAGTGAACAAGTCATTTTTACCAAGCCAAACGTTTTACCCTTAATTCGGGATACGAAAATAATCACTAAATAACTATTTAAGGCTCTTAAAGTGTCCCCTAAAGATCCCTTGATCAGTCGTCTGCTGTGAGGGATACATGCCCCGACTACGTCCGCTCAGCTGTGCGTACACAACTCTCAACCAAACTCCATTCAAATTTCTCGCACTTTTTAAGTTTTCTTGTAGATCCACAAGGAATCCCCGATCTCAAAGAGTGGATAAAGTGAAATTTACAAAGCCAAACTTGTAACTTTTAATTCGGAATAAAAAAAAATCCCTAATTAACCCTTTAAGGATCTCTGTCTACCAAAGATCCATGGATGTGTTGTCTGTAGTGACGGTTACAAGCCCTGACAGCGTCCCATTCTGCTGTATCTATACAACAATACACCAAACCCCATTGAGGTTTCTAATAAATTTATGTTTTCCAGAAACTCAGTTTCAGATTACAGTTCAGCACACAACATTTTTACAGCAGCTCCTAGATCTGAACTGCCATGTGGCATGTAACTTGGGGATCATGGGCATGCCGGTGTTGTTTGTGGCATGCCAGCAGTATTCGCCTTGGTCCATGGCAGGACGGTGTTGTGCCGAGAAGTGCATACATGCCTCCTGAGAATTGCATGCACCTCGCAGGACACTTTGCATCCACCTTTAAATGTCCTCTACAGACACACTTCAAAGTCAGACACTCTTTGCAGCTCATATTTACACAGGCCAATGAAAAAGCGTCTTCTATCGAATTTTCAGGACAATAAGGACACTAACCTTTTTAAAAATAAACTACACGTACTTTGTCATCACAGATCTGCCCCCAGATATAGGATTTATACCGTTTTCAAACACTTCCCAGAGGTGCATGCAATTCTGATTCTCAGCAGGGATGTAATTCTCGTCGTAACACCTGCAGGAGGCAAGCACCCATCTCTCACATGAGTACCAGCCATCTTCCAAATCTTCCTCTTCAAACAAAACGAAGCCATGGGTGTCAATGGAAAAAGCTGGAGGGGATAAAAAGTGACAGATTCTTTGTTGGTATCTGAAAGGTACTAAAATAAAGTAACCTTGGATTTTCAGCAACAAATGTCCGAAGCACTTATTAACTTGAGTCAAGGAGAGCTGAGCGGTAAATGTTGTTCTTAATGAATCAGTTTTTTTTTTTTTTACTTATTCTCCAGAATTTAAGAGTCCGACCAGAATCCCGAGATCCAGAGCAGGCGGAGGTTTCAGCGGAGAGTCTCCACACAACGACTCGGACGTCCAGCAGGACATCATCTGGGATGCCACGTCTCCTTCTCCAAACAGACTCGGTAAATATCAGACAGAGTCCTTGGATTAGTCTTTCATAGCTGCTGTCACACCTGCACAAAACTCCTGAGTGCAGATTTGAAAACATCATAAAACATACGAGGAAAGAAGATTTGCTTCATGGAGGCAAGAGCTGCATCGTCATTACTGACATGTTTTTTGTCTCCAGGTAAAAGAGGAAAGAAGCCGCCTGCTGGAGTGGTGAACATCTCAGAGATCGTCAGCAGGATCGCTCCAAAGGTGAGCGACACTACCTTCCATCGCCGCGTCCCGAGACGTAGCTGATCAGCAGCTCGACAGTCTGTCCTGAATGTTTCAATGTTTTGTGTTTGTGAAGCATGGCAGGCCGAGGGTCGCAGAGCCGACGTTACAACAGTGGATCGGAGACAGCGCAGCCATTCCCTGCACGCCGGACGTTCAAGCTCCCAAACCGAAGAAGAAGTCCCCAAGGTAAAGGAGGAGACCAATCTGCTCTCCTTGTTTTCATCTCTTTTTCCTTTTGCTCGCTCTCTTATTGTGCTTTGTTTTCATTCAGTGTTTACTGTCATTGTTGTTTGTTTTTCATTACGACAAAGTTCTGATCGTATTTTACGGTGGGTGGTGAAGGCAACAGCCCGAAGGATTTACATTTGTAAAAAAAAACATGCTGCGACCTCAGAGAGGGTGCAAATTCAAAACCCACACTCAAGACAAAAACAAACGCACTGATAGAAACACGCTGACGTGCTGCAAAAAGATAAAACACCTGCATGAACAGGAAAGGCGCTGTCTCACTGAGCGCCCCCTTCAGGCCTGGAGCTCGTCTGTTCTGAAAACTGGATTTGCCGCGTTTAGCATTAGTTTGTTTTATTTTAGTTTTTAGTTTTCTGAGCGTCTCACTCTGCAACACGTTTCCTGTTCATGCACGTGTTTTTGTGTATTTTCAGCGTGTTGATATCTTAGCAGCATGTCCGTCAGTGTGTTTGTTTTGGTCTTCTGCACGTGTTTTTGAACACGCATTGTCTCTGAATTTGCTGTTGCATGTCACTTGAACTCATTGGCCATCGTGATATTTTAATTTGATAAACAAACTTCTTTCATGTTATTAAAAGTGAAACAAAAATCGGAGATATCTTTTGTTCAGATTTAAATTAAACCTTCAAAGAGTTTGCTCCCCCGACAGTTTTACACAAAATGCCGATGTCATCCCTCTAAGCTCTTTTTATTTTTGTCACAGGCCGAACGGCGTGGACGACTTGCTGAAGCTCGCCAAACAGTTTGATTTCAACATGTTTCGTCGGGACGAAGAGGAAGAGGTGGACGACCCGCACCAGCAGAGTCTGGAGCTGCTGTCGGAGGACATGTTGGATTTTGAGAACGGCGATCAGAACGACTTCTCACCTTCACTTTTTGGAAACCATCAACGAGCTGAGGACACGGCTGCGGCTGGGAGAGACATTCAGGCACACCTGGATCTACAAATGGAGGACGATTTGGACCTCCTGTTCGATGGGCCGACCCAGCATGTGAGCGGAAACTTAAGTCAGGTGTCACAAGTGAAACATCCTCCTAGCACGTGTGCGGCTTCTGGGAAAACGTCTGCATCGTCTCGCACTTCTGGTGTTTCCACGACCAACACTAGAGCTGCTCCTGCAAACGACGAGTTCGAGGACGACTGGGAAAACGACGACTTGCTTAATGACTCTTTGGTTTTGGAGATGACACAAAATCCGCAGAGCTTTTCCGCTCCGACGCACTGCTCAACCCAGAAACCCGCGCGTGAAATAAAGAGTCCGGGAAGTTTTCGATGGTCAGACAGTCTGAGACAAAGATCGACCTTCAAGCTGGAGTCCAATCCTCATTTTTCTATCAAAACAAGCCAGACAGACACCTGGACTAACTCAAGGGTGGAAAACGGCTCAAAAAGGTCAGAGAAAGACCCTCAGAAGAACAATTGTCACGTTTTAGCAGGAGCGGGTTCTCAACAGAGCGTGCAAAAGTCAAACACGGTGAAATCAGATACACAGAAACAACAATCGAAACAAAGGACAAACGCGGCACCTCCTGCTCGCAGCTTTCCACTCACACCTGCAGCAGTTCCATCCCACAACGAGGCGGCCGCCATCTCTGACCTCCTGGATGACAACCTGAACTCTTTCTTCTCGTCTGATCCAGTGTGGGACGACCGGCGATGACGACCTTCTGTGTGAGATGTGTGAAAACGTGGAGAACCAGATCCAGAGCGCCCAGAACGTCCCATCAAACAGACAGTTTCCATGTCGACCCAGAGAGCCGCTCTGCAGCTGTCTGTCAACACCTGGGACAACCGAACCAAACAGCCAACGGCCAATCAGAAACCTTTCCCTCCTCAAACTCTCCCCCGTGCAGCTGGGACTTCTCACGCAGGTGGTTTGGTTTCAAGCGCAGCTGAAGGTGCACAAATGAAAAGAGAGACTTTAAGGTGCGCACAGTTAAAAACCTCTTCAGGGGTGTGGACAGTTCAGCGAGTCTGCAGGTGAGCAGCGGGGTCCAGACTGCGCCGAGGGAAACATCCGGAAAGAGCACTTCACCT